CCTTTATTTTTTTGCTATGGCACTCTCTTCTGGAAAGTGGTAGGGAAATGGAGTCACAGTGAGCTGGGACGTGTGGTACTTCGCTCTGAGGTGGAACCTGACACAGCCCCACTCAGTTTCCTGTTTGCATGGGAATTCCCGCTCGTGAACGGTGACATTTCACACATATGACACGTGTCATTGCTCTCTGAATCGACAGGCCTCACCTTAGCTGGAATGTTCGTGCTTTTGTTGCCTGTAATCCTCAGATATCATGGAATGGGAGACTTCATTGGCTTAGTTTCTAGATCACATGCAGAGAACACTTGTTAGAGAACCTGAAAGGTGTCCGAGCCAAGAGCTCTTCTCCTTTGCACTACACATTTTTTCTGGAGGGGGTCGCCGCAGCAGGTCTGAGTTGTACAACCCACGAAATTCGATGAAAGGAATGTGGTAGACCTTGGTCTTTTACTTTAGGAAACTCCTTTTGGCCTTGATTTCCGAGGGAAGGAGTTCCTGCCTTAGCAGAGGCCAAGAAGGCCAGATACCTCTGCGGCCGCACCGTCATGGGCACGTAACCCAGTCTAACCGATGAGAGGCGTGCGTCCTGGCCTCTGTCCAGGAGCCGGGGCCCCAGGAGCTGGGATGGAGGAGGATGAGGCGTCTGGGAATGGCAGTGACCCTGGAGGCAGCCCATGGTGAACCGTGCCCAGCGGACTTACCTTGCCAGCCTGACATCGTGGGGCTGGCACCAAAATCTATTTCCCCAGCTGGGTTCTCCAATTACCTGAAAACCCCATTGAGCTAACCAGAATTATGGCCCTCACCCCACCCCATATTTGTGTCCTTCAGGTGTGGAGGGTTCAATGAACCATAGTCCTCAGTTCATGCCACATTGTTATCCCAGGCTCATGTACAGCCTTTCTTATATTTTAGCTCTAACTAATTTGTTCTTCTTTCTTTACTCCACTCCAGGCCCTCCATGCAGCTCTGACCATTTTGTTGTGTTCCTTGTATGTCTTTTTATTTCTATGCCAACATTTTTTCCTGTAAAATTCCATTCTGCTTAAAGACACCACTTCAACCTCCAACCCTAACTTTAGGGTATTGGTGAGATTGTCGAGCCAGGTGCGAAATGTAACCATGGGCTTGAAGAGGTGCAACCAGCAACCCGGGTCAGCAGTGGGCAAGTGTGGAGGAATGAATCATATTAAGTGAAGGTCCTGAGCAGCAGAAGGAAAGGAGAGGCAGGGTGGGGGTGGGGAAAGGATCCCAGATAAGAGAGACCAGGGAGGTCCAGAGAATGATCCCTGTGGAAGAAGCATCTGTGCAAGTCTTAACCACATGGCACCTCCACCTGGTCTTGGCTCCCAGCAGGCTCTGTGGTCCCAGCCAGCCCGTATAGGGATAAGGGATTGGCAAGGTGAAGATGTACAGGGCCTAGAGGCCACATAGCCCTTGCAGAGCTGGCTTCGGTGACTGGTGCAGAAGAGACAGTGGACACGACCAGGGGATGACAGAGTCTTAAGTCAGAAGGGGCACTGGGAAGCAGTCTTTGGCCCTGGCCACCAAACAGCTTCCTTTGGCTCTAGGACCAAATCACTGTGTCCGTGAGCCTCATGAAGGGAAAGACTCACCAAGTGATCAAAAGCCTGTCTCTTTTGCCCCAGGATTGTGTGCCAGACATGTTGTATATGATTTTATTCTGTCAACATCTATTTCTTCTTTTAAAAAAAGAGTGTTTTTTTCCTCACCCTTGACCATCTTGATGTAGAAAGTAGTATCTTGTCATTATTAAAACATTTAATTTTTATTCTAGATCATAAACCTAGAACTTACACTCTAGAAGCACGCTACCCACTGTTGTTACAGATCTTTTAACATGGGTCCTTTCTCCCTGGGGGACAGTGCAGGACCAGAGCTGGTCCAGGACCTCCTCATAGGTGACACTCAGTGACCCTGGAGGCTGTGTGGAGGGACCTTCTCTTGTCACTGAGGGGGCATCCTACCCTCCCGCTTCCCTCTTGCTCATTTGTTGACTGGTAGAGCTAACATTTCCCCCTGTTTGTGAGTTTGTATTTGTTCACTTATAAATTCCTTGATGGCTCAGAACATCATCATTCATCCTGGCATTCATCTTGGGAATTTTTTGTAAATATTTGTTGTTAGTGTTAATATGATATCACGCATCCGAAGCCAATTCGGGAAATGTTTGTTAATTATTAGATTTGCCAAAGGCTGGGGAAGTCCTAAGTGGGTTATACTTTCAGATTCTAAAAAGCCTTCAGACCATGGTGGTAATTAATTCGCTTTCAAATTGTGTATAATTTGTGTTAGAATACACTAATTTATTTTGAAAGCACAGTACTTTCTTATCATACTTGAATTTCCAAGTTTTCTCCTAATGCCAGCAAAGTTTCAGTGGCAGTGTTTTGAATTATTGTTGCATGAGAGAGGGCAAGGGCTCAATTTTTGTTTTAAATCTGTGATATCTCTAGCCTACTCTCTCAAATATCAATTGAAATTTAGTACCGTATTTGCCTTATAAATGTCTTATGTACCAGTTGTGAGAAGGAATCAATGGATTTATGCATCTAACAGGTTCAGTTAATTAGTTTTGAATAGTGTGCCAAGGTGACACTCTCAGTTTTATGACTTTCCATAGATGATGGATTCTGCTACCGTGACAAGGTCAAGCACATAAAATTCCCAATCAAATGCCATGGAAAGCACAGTTCTATATGTCAGTTTAATTCTGTAGTAGTCTTTTTGTCAGCATAGCTAGTGATTCCATCTGTCTCAATTTAAGATTAGCCTCAGTCATGCTTTTGTAGCAGGTAATATACATAATGTAATATAATTCCTTATATAATATGAATATATAGCACATGTAATATAAATGGATATTATATGTAATGTAAATATAAAAGTATATTTATTTAGGTTGTAGTAAAGGCTGAGTGGGTGGTAGAGTATCTGTAACTCAGGATTTAGAGGATGCTGCTGCTTTCCCTTTGTGAAATGATTTGTTTTCCGTATATGGCTTGGTATTGGGTGGATAAATAATGCTGTTAATTACGTGTTACTTCTAATGAGCAGACATATGTCATCCTCTACTGTAGCTCTTCACCAGAAATGTAATGGCCAAAGTGATTTGCTTGTGTTTATTATTCTAGTCATGGGAGAGTAGCAGGTGTCACAACGGAATCAATCTTGGATTGGTAATAGGTGGTCACGAAGGCAGAAAATGGCAGGCTAGAACACATTGACCCATACCTATTATATAATCTCAAGTAATGATGGTCTGTTATGCTCCAAGGGACTGGAATACTACATTGCAGAAGGCAACCAAGCCAGGGTCTCTGAATAGGTCAGAGGGTTCCACCAGATACCCCACCCCCTTCTGCTTCTTTTAAAAGCTCTTATTACTGAATGCTCATAAAAAGAGTTTTGTCTATCCTAATGCTTCCCAACAAGACAGGATTACCAACAACTTGGTCCTGGCAGGCAGCCAGCCTGCAACATTTCAGTGATGCTCGCTGCCGTGGCAACCCCACTGGGCCTTCCGTGGGTGCAAGTAGATGCAGCTGCTGAAGAAGAGGTGCAGCCCAGCAGGCCAGTGAGCATGGCCTTGGTTTGAATGATGTCATGCCAGCCTGGGCCACTGGGAGACAATGGTGGCCACCTGCCCAGTAGCTAAATGTGGGTGGGTGGCATTTTCCAAATAAGGATGTTGGGAAGAACATGGGTTTAAAGAAATGGATGGTGATACTGGTATAGTGTCATACTATACAAATCAATCTCATAAATTAGGATTTAGAATTTGTGAGAATTCAGACACAAGGCACAGGATGAATTTATCTTGTTCCCCTTCTGAAGAAGTGGGGTGCAAAGGAAATGAATGGGTTCAATAAGCTGTAAGGATAATTCTTAGCCTATTTAGAGGAATACATAGGTTTTTAAGATTCTTAAGTGAGCTGCATTGATTAGGACTGGGGCAAAGTTGCTGCAACAAGAGACTTGAAAGTGTAGTGACTGAAGCAGGATGGAAATAATTTCTTTCTTCTCTGTTAGTCCTGGTGGCTGGTTCAGGGTAGATTTGGTGGCTTATGAGGCCAACACATTGTCTCTGTTTCCGTCCTGTTTGCCGGAACCTAGACCTATGGTTGCTTCTACCAGCAAGGGTGACCGAGTGCCCAGCTAAAACTCAGGGTTCTGTTTCTAACAGATGAGGGGAGAGTGGGGACCCCCGACAGGTTCCCCTCTCCGCACCTTTTACATTCCCACCAGGTCATTGCCACGATGTGAGTTTGAAGAATACGAGTTCAGGCCTTGACTGGAACTTTGAATTGGTTCTTCTCTCAAACTCTGGACTTGAAAGAGAGGGAAGCAAGATGGGGTCGTGGAAGAGCAGATGGTTCCAGTGAGACCCACCCGACCGAATCCTGACTCAGTCACTTGCTATTTGTGTGATCTTACGTTGTGCTGTTGAGCTTCTCTGCGACTCAGATCCCTCACCGTAGAACATTGCCAACGATGTCTACCTCACAGAGTTGTTGTGATAGTTACACAGCAGAAGTAAAAAGAGAACATCCAGGAAGGAGCATGCCTGCCATGTGCTAAGTTCCCACTAAGAGTTAGTTATTCCTTTCTAGGAAGAATTGTAGATGTCACCAACTTCCCGAATGCTTCTAGATGAACAAGTTGGTTTGCTCGGAAGCTTAATATAATTTGCATTATTACACAAGGATTACATCACTTTACAGTAAAGATATTTTTCCTTTTCTAAATGCAAATTTTAGAATTCAGTTGATGTGCTGATGTTCACCCACAGGCAACTCATGCCGTCAGGACACATCTTCCTCAGGCCCTGTCACACCAATGCTACAAGTGTATCAATATATAGCATAAGAGGGTAAACAGAAAAGCAGGTTTCCTTGGGGAAATGATGTGTGACACTGCCTCATGGGGATCTGAGGGGCAGCATGTGACCTCAGAGGAGGCTTTGAGGCCATGACGAGATGTGGCGCTCACAGAGGGCAGATGTGCTCCTCGTGGCCTCCATTCCTGTGGTCCTGCGCAAGCCCCTGGCAGGTGCTGCTTTGAGGAGGTGAGACTCTGCTGGAGCACTGTGTGCTGTGAAGTGTGAAAGGTGGTTAATGGCACGCCAGGGATGTGGCAGATGAGGTCCTTAGGGAGGCAGCTCCAGAACCGGGTGCCAGTGCTAAGTGACAGAGACCATCGTGAGAACTGAAGCGATGGAGTCAGAATTTATGAGGCTTTCCTGGTGTTAAAAAGGAGACAACAGGCCCACAGTGGAGTCACTTGTGTTAAGCCTAGGTCAGGAAACTAAGACGTCATACCTGATCTCATGGCAGTGTCAGCCTCTGCAGGACTTTTGACCTCTAGGCATTACCTGGTCAGCACTAGTGAGGTCATCCACCTGAGAGATGCCTTTTGTCCCCAACAGGAAGGTGACCTTGTCTGAAACAACCCACTCTATGCTAGAAACTTCCTTTACCTTCCTTCCTCTGCCTATAAAAGCCTCTTGTTTTGTACAGCTCTTTGGAACTCCTCTCTATCTGCTAGATGGGATGCTGTCTGATTCATGAGTTGTTGAGTAAAGCCTGTAAGATCCTTGAAATTTACTCAGTTGAGGTTTTTTTTTTTCTTTAGCAGTGGGAATGGCACATAATTTGTCCAGAGGGTCTTCCTTTCCCTGCCCTGCAAAGCAGTCCGGCAGGGATTCATGCCCTCTCGGGCGGGCCACGGGGAAGCCGCATTCCCCCACATCACTACTGCCCTGTGTGTGTGCTGCCATGCCTCCCCGGCCGGGTGCACACTTGCGTGCACACAAGCAGTTCTCCGGAGGGTTTTGCTGGCGTTCAGCGGGCTGTGAGGGGCAGCAGAGGTCCTTGCCTCCCAGCCTGGGGGGCTTGCAGCCACAGGGCACACTGGCCATCGGCCCCACTGCACACTGGGAGCCCCTGTTGCTGTTCCAGCCTTGGGAAGTGGCAGGAGCCTCTTAGTTCCCTCTGGTGTGGTAACTTTTCACAGGAACCCTGAGATTGCCATCGGGGATGGGGGGCGGAATTCATTTGGAGACCTTCACCTTGTTTTTTCCCATGGCTCCTTCGTCTTTTATGAACGGAACCCATCCCTTGCTCAATGTCCACAGGCCACCTGATGCTATGGGGGCCCTTGGGCCAGGCAAGGAAAGGGAGTCTGTGGCCTCTCAAAGTGGCTTCCGGGCCTGTGGTCTCCTGGGGTCTCCAGCTCGCTGCCCTCTCTCCTGTCCAGAGCTGACCTCAGATCTCAACAACATACTGTTGGTCCTAGAGTGGACCCCTTTGCTGAGCACCTGGCAAAGCCAGAGTGTTAGCCTCTCAGAGTCGGGAGACACAGGCCCATCATAGGGAATTATAAGTTCAAGTTAAGGTGGTCTTTCCAAAAGAGCAACTTGGATGGGACTGGGTAAGAATCATGATATCATGGTGCAGGATTGGTGGAAATGGCAAGAGGAAGTTTTTGAGGGGTTCAAAGGATCCTGGGGTGTGAACTGTCTGTTGCTGCGTCCCATTGAAGAGTCCCTGGGCCTTCTGGGAAGTTCCTGTCGGAAGAATCATCCCATTTGTCTGGGCAGGAAGGGTAAAGAAATGCTAATGTGATGGAGGGACAGCCAAATCCTGTTAAAGTAGCCCAGAGGGGGCAAGTGCAGTGGGGAGGACATTCATTCTCAGTGTTTTCTTCACGGCCTTTTGTCTTCTAATAAAAGATATGTTTTTATTCATAAACGTAGATGGGATAAATGACTATAAAGCACTTGCAAGGCCCTGACAGGCTTACCAGCACAATGAAGACCTATGACAGTGCTTTAATAATTCAGCCCACAGACCTACTTTTTGATACAGTTTTGTTTGAAATCATTTATTTTCCTTGATTTTGTGATTTTTTTCAGTTCTGTGTGGTAAGTTTCCCTATACAGGCATTACTGGCATTTGAGGAGAATGCCTAACAGGTATACAAATAACATATGTGCTTGAAAATATGCTTGAAAGCTATAAAACAATTGTTACTGAAAATCAACAGGATATAGATAACATCTGAATTATCTATCTCGTTTACTTGAACATGAAGTATTGCCTTCAGTCACATCATAAAACCTGAATGTTTATACAGTGCCTATCTGAAAAGTGACCTCTAGGCATTACCTCGTCAGCACTAGTGAGGTGGAAAACTGTGCCTTGTGTAGAGAGCACCCTTCCAAGGTATCTGATTCTGGCCTTTTCCTTGCCTTTGATATGTTTTACAGTTTTATAAGTTGTAGGTAACTGGTAGCAATGCAAAATAGTTACTGTCTATAGACATGGAAAAAAGCTCTTTGTGTGGTTAAAATGACTATCCCTCCCCATTATGAAGAAAAGCCAATTTCTTGTATATCTGTAAATTTGTTTCAACCATTAATTCGATCATTCCTTTAATCCATGTAAATTTGTGCTTCTCTGACTTCTCCTTTGAACTGATTGTAACATCTTACTAATACCCTCATTAATAATGAGGTCAATAAAATCTTTAACATATGTTTATTTTATATCTTATGAGGGTCATCGTTTTACCTTTGGTAATTATTCTTTAACATAAAATTTTATGGTCTCTATTAAAAATAACAAAGGTGCTGTGCTTCCTTTAACCAGTGACAGAAATGGACCCTAGTAAGAGGAACTTGGATCCAAAAAGTGGAAGAACTAGGGGTTCAAAACATTGGAAGGTTTTCTCTTAATATTGTAAAAATGAGTATAGACTCATAAACAACCAATGGGTTAAAGAAGAAATTACGATGGAGTTTAGATTTAATTCATTATTTTAGAAAATAATTTGAGTTGAATTAAAATGAAAACACAACACCCTCAAATTTATGGGATGTTGTAAAAGCAGTGCTTAGAGGGAAATTTATAGCTACAAATGCCTGCATTTAAAAGATTTTAAATCAAAAACCTAACTTACATGAAACAGAGATTAGAAAAATCAGAGGGAAAATTAATGAAACCAAAAGTTGGTTCTTTTTTTTAAAAAAAGATTCTATTTATTTATTTGAGAGAGAAAGTGAGAGAGTGAGCCTGAGTGGGGGGAGGGGCAGAGGGAGAGGGAGATGAGAGAATCTCAAGCAGACTCCTCACCCAGCGTGGAGACCGACATGGGGATTGATCTCGGGAGCCTGCGATCGTGACCTGAGCTGAAATCAAGAGTCCGATTTCACTTAACCAGGGAGCCATCCAGGCACCCCCATAAGTTGGTTCTTTGAAGATCAGCAAAATTGACGAACCTTTAGCTAGATTGCTAAGAAAAAAGAGAGAAGCAAATAACTAAATTAAAAAATGAAAGTGAGGATGTTACTGCTGATCTTGTAGAAATGAAAAGAATTATGGGAGACTACCATGAGAAGTTGTATGCCAAAAAATTAGATAATCTAGATTAAATGGATTGATTCCTAGAATCTATCTACACATTGCCAAAACTGTCCCCCCTCCCAAAATAGAAAATCTGAACAGACCTATAACAAGAGATTGAATCAATTATTAAAAAGTTCAGGATGTGATGGCTTTATTGGTGAATTCTACTAAATATTTAAAGAATAGCATCAATCTCTCTCAAACTCTTCTAAAAAAATAGAAGAGAAGGGAATACTTTCTGTCTCATTTTATGAGGCTAGCATTGCCCTGATACCAAGGTCAAGATAAGAAAACTACAGACCAAGATTCCTATGATACTGATGCAAAAATCCTCAACAAATTACTAGCAAACGGAATTCAGCAGCATATTAGAAAGATTATCTACCATAACCAAGTGGGATTTATCCCAGGAGTGCAAGAGAAGTTCAACATAAGTTCAATCAATGTAATACGCCATATATATAGAATGAAGGAATAAAACCTACATGATCGTCTCAATCAGAAAAAGCATTTACAAATTCCAGCACCCTTTCACAATAAAATCATGAAAAAAAAAAGAGAGAAATAGAAGAAACTACCTCCACATGATAAAAGGCATTATGAAAAACCCACCATGTTCAATGGTGAAAGACTGAAATCTTTACTTCGAAGACAAGGAATAAGGCAACGATGCACACAAAAATCAGTCATGTTTCTGTATACCAGCAGTGAACAATCTTAAAAGGAAATTAACAAAATGGTTCCATTTACAGTAGGATCCAAAAGAATACATAGAAATAAATTCCACCAAAGTGGTGAAAGACTTATGCACTGAGAACTAAAAACATTGCTGAAAGAAATCAAAGAAGACCTAAGTAAATGGAAATATGTATCATGTTTATGGACTGGAAGATTTATTATTATTTTTTAAGGTATAAGTGTTTTTATTTTTATTTTTAATTTTTTTCATAAAGAGAAAAGTTTAATAAAGTCCATACTCAGTGGCACTTTTAACTAAATCTCTAAAAATCCATTCAATAAGGTATAAAATTTTAAAAATCAGATTATCATAATTTTGACCTTTACTCAGAATTTTGTATTTTTTAAGTATTTTATTTTGTGTTTTTAAATATTTTATTCACTTACTTGAGAGAAAGTGAGAACGAGCTAGAGCGCACAAGTAGGGGGAGCGGCAGAGGGAGAGGGAGAAGCAGGGAGCCTGACACGTGGCTTGATCCCAGGACTCGGGGATCATGACCTGAGCTGAAATCAGCCACTTAACCGACTGAGCCATCCAGGTGCCTGTAGTTTATTTTAAATTCCAGTTAGTCAACATATAGTGTGTTTTATTAGTTTCAGGTGTACAATATAGTGATTTCAACACTTTCATTACAACACCCTGTAGTACAAGGGTTTCCCTCTGAATTTTTGCTTTTGTTTCTCTTGACTCAGGAGACATATCTAGAAAGAAGTTGCTATGGCCGATGTCAAAGAAGTTATTGCCTGTGTTCTTTTCTAGGATTTTTATGATTTCATGTCTCACATGTAAGTCTTCAATCCATTTTGAGTTTATTTTTGTGTATGGTGTAAGAAAGTGATCCGGTTTCATTCTTTCGCATGTTGCTGTCTAGTTTTCCCAACACCATTTGTTGAGGAGGCTGTGGAAGACTTATTATTGTTA